TGATATATATTACTTATAAAAATATTTATTACATGTGTAAATATTAAAAAAAATTCTAGAAAGCGTAAGTTGATCATAAAAGAGCTTCTGGCAAAAATATGGAGTTATAATTGTTAGATGTTGATGAGAATGATCTTAAGGTAGCAAAAACATATTCACTCTTAAACGAGTTAGTACGGTAAGTAATATATGAATATTTGTAATTTAATATTACATAATAGGTACAGCTGAAGAATCATATACAAATAGTGGCAATATGAAGATGTTTGTTGCATAATGCTTTCTTTATTTATGAACATTGGAGTTTGGTGCACCATGGTGAATTAGATTTGATCCACCAGGTATTTCTCTATTAACTTCCATGTCATCCATCTGACTTAGTGCTTCATGATGAATAAGATCTAATCCACTAAGTGTTTTTCTATTGATTTTAAATTTTGATTCTTAAAAAATATATATGAAAGATCTGAATATGATTTTTTAGTTGACTTTATACATCTTTCTATATTATGCAGTTGATTTGATAAACCATAGTGGATTAGATTTGATCTATTAGGTGCTTCTCATTATCCTATATCATGCATCTGACCAAGTGCATCATGATGAATAGTGTCTGATTCGCTAGATATTTTTCTATCGATTTTAAACTTTGATTCTTGAAAAATATATGAACGATCTGGATTTGATTCTTTAGTCAAAATTGTACTTGTCTTCATATCATACAGTCGATCTAACATATCATGGTGAATTGGATTCGATCCAACATGTGTTTTTTTATTAATTTTCATGTCATGTACTTGGTCTAATGCATTATGTTGAATATGATATGATCCAAAGAATGTTTTTCTATTGATTTCAAATTTATCTTCTTGAAAAATATATGTTTGATATGGATTTAATTCTTCAGTTAGATTTAAATTTATCTTTATATTATGCAGTTGATATAACATACCGTGGTGAATTAGATTCGATCTACCAAGTATTTCTCTATTAATTTCTATGTCATGCATATGATCAAATGTATCGTGGTAAATAGGATCTAATCCACCCAATATTTTTTTATCAATTTTAAATTTTGATTCTTAAAAAATATATGGATGATTTGGATTTAATTTTCCAATCAAGTTTATACAATTTCGGATTATCTTTGAAATAATTTTATAAATTTTATAAAATTTGTTTGTAAAATATAGAGTTTTTCCAATTGAAATATGTTAAAATTTTATTTAAAACAACAAAAATTTAAAAGTACAAAAAAAATTGTGTAATTGAATAGGAATAATTCAAACATCTTAATTATTCTTTATTTTATGTTTGAACATCTGTACTATATGTATTTCTCAAGATACATAATACATGTTATTCTTTATATTTATATTTATATGTGGGACGTAAAATTATTATGTAGGGGAGGATGGATCATATTCATGTAATAAAGTTATGTATATATGATAATACATGTGCACACATAAATTTTGTACAGTAGGACAATTAATGTGTGGTACAACAACATGCCAAATGAATTAAAGTTTGTGGGGCCTGCTTTTTTTTTTTTTTTTCGTTTCTCCCAACTTCGTCTCAATTATATCACCTACCAATGAGTTATTATTATTTTTAAGAAATTAAACATTACATATCAATCCCTGTCACTTTATAATATATTAATAAATTAAAATTTTTATATTTTTGAGAATTTTTTTTTTACTATTAATAAAAATCAACATTCCAAATAATTTCATATAAAATTAGAATAATATATTTTAAATTTATCAAGTTTGATGAAAATTTAAAATTTATTAATAGAATTCTATATAAAGTTTTGTGTTTGGTGAATTTTTATAATATTTTAATAAAATTTATTGTAACATTCTGGGTTCAAGATAATTAGCCTTGTGATAGTAAATTATTTTTAAAAAAATAATAATAATAGTTATAATAAAATAATAATAATAAAGAAAACATGTATTTTGAATACTTTTAAAACAAATTTCAAGAATTATAGCCAATTTATAAAATATAGGAGAGCTCACTCAAAAGAAAACTTAGAAAATCGAGACTATTTTGTAAATTAAAGGAAACGGGCCACGTAGGATGACTACATCAGCAGCACGACGAATCAGGGTGCGCCGTGTGACAATCGTGTCAGCAAGCATCTCCATGCGAGAAGCCACCTTGGCGATCTATGTACCTGAGAGATCAAACAACTAGAATTCATTCCTGCTTGCACGAATAGTCAAATCACAATCTCGCTTGAATTCGAATGAACAGCTCTGAATGCCCACGTGATGGAGCCAACAGTCACATGATCAATGACTCATATTCACAGGGTTGATCGATCAAACAGTCCGAAATGCACACGGGAAGAAAATTCGGGATGCCCTAAATAGCTTGATCGAGAGGCGGACGACTCTCGTTGTTTCACGCAGACCCACACGAACGACCTAGATAAAAGGGGGAAATGTATTTAAACCTCTTTTCAGTCGGTCTCTCAAATCCTAGCCGCTAGGTCCACCGGAGAAGAAGAAGCTGGGGGCACTTAGAGGGAGCTCAGACACTGGAAGAGCGACGAAGCCTAGTTGCGTCACCATGCCGAAGGCCAAACCAACGCCAATAAGGTCAAAATTTCTTCTTTTTATTCTATAAAACACTTTCTATCCATGTTTTAAGCTAATTCCCACCATAACCCTGCTAGTTTCAATGTAATTAAGGGAGAGCAGCGTCAAGAAAGAGGAACCAGATGGTGGAGCTCGGTGGCCCTGCCATGCCGGAACTATGAATCGACCTGGTGAGTCTTCTCTGCTCCTTTTCACCGCCCTTTACACGTGTTCCCACATCATTTTGATGTATGTTTCTTAATTTTACCAAAAATTTCAAGAAATTTGAGAGTCGAGAGTCGCCGCGGACTGTAGTTGAAGATGATATTCTAACCTTCGACCCAGTGTAAGAATTAATAGATAATAAAAAAGTAATTATATATTGTTCTGTGAATTCCTAATAATTAAATAAAAGTTGTCGATGGAGCCGGTTAAACGATTATTTATGTTGGCCACTAGCTTTATCTTATGCTATCTATTTATTATTTTTGCCTCAATTCTTATCTTATGATATTTATTATTTTATTTTTCGTTTTTATTTGCTTATTTTTTTATTTTGTAGTCGCGTACTTTTCTTCTGTTGGTCTAACCTATTTTCGTCCTTATCTCGCCATGTCCATTTATAACTATTGTATCACTTATCATCTTAAATTGTTTGTATTTGTTTCATTTTGTTTTCACTCCATGCTGTTTATTTATTATATTCTTCTTATTTATCGTATCGTGCCTTATTAATTTCGTCATGATCTATTTATTTCATTTTGTTGTTCACGCTATTGCATATAGAAGATCTGATCCTATCATGATATTTTACTTCATTTTTATTTATGTTTTTTTATTTTCTTAATAGGTTTCGAAACATGAATTTTATATTCTAGTATTAATTGAAGCACAGGTCTTACGTTGGTCAAATACAATAAAAAATATGCATGCTTAAATCGATAAAAATAACCTATTGGGTATTATAGGAGAGAGTATACGGACTTAGTGTATGGGGTAAACCTTACTGTAGATGTATCCTTAGTCGTACGTGGTTGAGAAGTCCCATACCGAACGGGATTGGGAGTAATTAATTTTACTCATACTCGACTGGATATTGAGACGGTTTTTAAATCGTGACGCCTATTATCGAATTGGATACAGTTTTTAAAACGTACAAGAGATATAATCTTTAAACCTTCAATTCTCCTGCAAAATAAAAATTATAGTGTTATTATATTAATATGACAAGGCTAAGTGCTCTAAATATTTGATAGTGATTTAAATTTTTACATTTATACAATATTTTAATTGAATTAAGAA